ACACTAACCCTACTAACCCTGATGGCCATGGAGCATCACACTAACCCTACTAACCCTGCTGGCCATGGAGCATCACACTAACCCTACTAACCTTTACCCTGCTGGCCATGGAGCATCACACTAACCCTACTAACCCTGCTGGCCATGGAGCATCACACTAACCCTACTAACCTTTACCCTGCTGGCCATGGAGCATCACACTAACCCTACTAACCCTGCTGGCCATGGAGCATCACACTAACCCTACTAACCCTGCTGGCCATGGAGCATCACACTAACCCTACTAACCCTGCTGGCCATGGAGCATCACACTAACCCTACTAACCCTGCTGGCCATGGAGCATCACACTAACCCTACTAACCTTTACCCTGCTGGCCATGGAGCACCTCACACTGAGTGAGTGGAAGGGGATTTTTCCTGGTTAATCAGGATTTCCTGCATTCATTGAAATTGTCCTACCCCCAAACCAATGTTGTAATTTTCCAGATTTTATATGTTGTCCTGATCAACAACACAAGCTTTCAATTATATCCTGTTCTCTCATTTCAATAGCAGTGGAATTGATCATACTGTACGTTTTGTCAGTAAAGCAAGGAGACTGAAAAGATTTGGCATGGGTCCTCAGATCCTCAAAAAATTATACAGCTGCACCATCGAGGGTAGTGCGTACAGCCCAGTACATCACTGGGGCCAAGCTTTCTGCCATCCAGGACCTCTATACCAGGCGGTGTCAGAGGAAGGCCCTCAAAATTGTCAGACTCCAGCCACCCTAGTCATAGACTGTTTCCTCCCTGCTACCGCACGGCAAGCGGTACCGGAGTGCCAAGTCTAGGTCCAAAAGACTTCTCACAGCCTATCTAACCCCCAAGCCGTAAGACTCCTGAATAGCTAATCATGGCTACCCGGACTATTTGCACTGCCCCCCCCCACCCCATCTTTTTAACGCTGCTGCTACTCTGTTAATTATTTATGCATAGTCACTTTAACTCTACCCACATGTACATATTACTTCAACTACCTCAACTAGCCGGTGCCCCCGCACATTGACTCTGCACCGGTACCCCCCTGTATATATAGCCTCCCTACTGTTATTTTATTTTACTTCTGCTCTTTTTTTCTCAACACTTTTTTGTTTTTATTCTACTTTTTTATTAAAAATAAATGCACTGTTGGTTAAGGGCTGTTAGTAAGCATTTCACTGTAATGTCTGCACCTGTTGTATTCGGCGCATGTGGCCAATACAATTTGATTTGATTTGAGAAAGCAGAGTCCAGTGTCAGCGTTCTGATGATTGGGAATTAATCTGTTCTCATTCTGGTCTCTTGCTCTTCTCATTTCAGGTGCGGAGATTTGCAGAGGCTTTCTTTTGTCTGGAACACCCGAGACAAACGGCCCTGGCCTATCAGGAACTACAGTAAGACAAACTACAAGCACGTCTTCCTTGTGTCTCTGTCTGTCTGTTTGTCTGTTTGTCTGTCTGTTTCTATGTTTGTGTGTATTTATATGATGAATTAACCACCAATTCACAACAACAGAAAGTGAAGATTATTACTGTTTTATTTTTCCCTCCTCCGTCTCCCCTCTCTCCCCTCCTCACGTCTCCCCTCCTCACGTCTCCCCTCTCTCCCCTCCTCCGTCTCCCCTCTCTCCCCTCCTCCGTCTCCCCCTCTCTCCCCTCCTCCGTCTCCCCTCTCTCCCCTCCTCACGTCTCCCCTCCTCACGTCTCCCCTCTCTCCCCTCCTCCGTTCTCCCCTCTCTCCCCTCCTCCCTTCTCCCCTCTCTCCCCTCCTCCGTCTCCCCTCTCTTCTCCCTTCTCACCCTCCCCTCCCGTCTCCCCTCTCCTCCCTCCTCCCCTCTCCCCTCCTCCGTCTCCCTCTCCTTCCTCCCTCCTCCGTCTACCCCTCTCCCCTCCTCCTCTCCCTCCTCCTTCCCCTCCTACGCTCCCTTCCCCCCTTTCTCCCCTCTTCCCCTCCCCCTCTCCCTCTCTCTCCCCTCCCTCCCCTCCCTTCTCCCTTCTTCTCCCCTCCCTCCTCCCCCCCTTCCCCCTCCCCCTCCTCCTTTTCCCCCTCCCCACTCCCCTCCCCTCCCCTCTCCCCTCCTCCCTTCCTCTCCCTCTCTCCCCTCCTCTCCCTCCCCTCCTCCGTCTCCCCTCCTCTCCTTCTCACCCTCCTCCATCCCCTCTCCCCTCCTCACCCTCTCCCCTCCTCCCGCTCCTCCCCCCCCGTCTCCCTCCTCCCTCTCCCCTCTCCCCCTCCCCCTCCCTCCTCTCCCCCTCCTCCGTCTCCCCCTCTCCCCTCCTCCGTCTCACCTCTCCCCTCCTCACCCCCCTCTCCCTCCCCTCTCTCCACTCCTCACGTCTCCCCCCCCCTCTCCCCTCCTCACTCTCCCCTCTCTCCCCCCCTCCTCCATCTCCCCTCTCTCCCCTCCTCCATCTCTCCCCTCTCCCCCCCTCCTCCGTCTCCCCTCTCTTCCCCTCCTCACTCTCCCTTCTCCACCTTTCCCCCTCCTCCCCCCTTCTTCCCCCTCCTCCCCTTCTCCCCTCTCTCCCTCCTCCTTTTCCCTCTCTCTCCCTCCTCCCTTCTCCCCTCTCTCCCCCTCCTCCCTCCCTATCTCCCCTCCTCTTCTCCCTCCTCCACTCTCCCCCTCTCTCCCCTCCTCCGTCTCCCCTCTCTCCCCCCTCCTCTCCCCCCCTCCCCTCCTCCTCCTCTCCCTCCTCCTTCTCCCCCTCCCATCTCCCCCCCTCCCCCTCTCCCTCCCCTCCTCCTCTCCCTCCTCCCCTCCCCCGTCTCCCCTCTCCCCTCCCTCCCTCCTCCCGTCTCCCCTCTCCCCTCCTCCTTCTCCCCTTCCTCACGTCTCCCCCTTCTTCTCCCCCTCCCCTCCTTTTCCCCCCTCCTCTCCCCTCCTCGTCTCCCCTCTCTCTCCGGTCATCTCCCCCTCCCCTCCCTCTCCCTCTCACCCCTCCTCCCTCCCCTTCTCCCCTCCTCCCCTCCCCCTCCCCCTCCTCCCTCTCCCCCTCTCTCCCCTCCTCCCTACCTCCCCCCCTCTCTCCCCTTCCCCCCTTCTCCCCCTTTTTCTCACCTCTCCCCTCTCCCCTCCCCCCTCCTCCCCCTCTCCCTCTCTTCCCCCCCTCCCTTCTCCCCTCTCTCCCCTCCTCCCTTCTCCCCCTCCTCCCCTTCCTTCCCCTCTCTCCCCCCTCCTCCTTCTCCCCTCTCTCGTTCTCCCTCTCTCCCCTCCCCGTCTCCCCCTCCTCTCCCGCCTCCTCCATCTTCTCCCCTCCTCTCCCCCTCCCCTCCCCTTCCCCCCCCTCCTCCCCGTCTCCCCCTCTCTCCCCCTCCTCCGCCTCTCCCCTCCCCTCTCCCCTCCTCCTTCTCCCCTCCCCCTCTCCCTCCCCCATCTCCCTCCTCCCTTCTCCCCTCTCCCCTCCTCACCCTCTCTCCCCGATTCTCCCCCCTCCCCTTTTCCCCTCTCCCCCTCCTCCGCTTCCCCCCTCTCTCCCCCCTCTCTTCCCCCCAGTTCCCCCGGCCCTCTCTCCCCTCCTCCTTCTCCCTCTCTCCCCCTCCTCCTTCTCCCCTCTCCTCCCTCCTCCTTCTCCCCTCCTCCCCAAAACTCCCCTCCTCCCTCTCCCCTCGTCTCCCCCTCCTCCTCCTTCCTCCCCTCTCCCCCTCCCTCTCGTCTCCCCCTCTCTCCTCCTCCTCTCCGTCTCCCCTTCCTTCCATTCTCCCCTCTCCTCACCCTCCTCCTTTTCCCCTCTCCCTCCTCCGTTCTCCCCTCTCCCTCCATCCCTCTGCCCCTTTCCCCCTCCTTCCTCTCCCCCCCCTCTCCCCTCCTCCTCTCCCCTCTCTCCCCTCCTCAGGCTTTCCCCCTCTCTCCCATCCCCTCCCCTCTCCCACTCTCTCCCCTCCCTCCTTCTTTTCCCCTTTTCTCCCGTCCTCCTCCCCTTGTTCCTCCCTCCTCCCTCCCCTCTCCCCTCTTGTCTCCAGCAGTCTCCCTCCTCCTCCTCTTCTCTGCTTCTACCTCCTCTCCTTTCTTCCGCCTTACGGCTCACTTTCCTCCCTCTCCCCCTCCTCCTTGTCTCTCCCTGGGCCCATTTTTCTACATTTTGGAACAGGCAGGTCTTATAAAACCTCTCCCTACTTTCTCCCTCCTTCCCTTCTCCCCTCTTTTGAAAGCAAGTGCTCGTTTTGGGTCTGTCCTCACTTTTTCTTTTTTTCGTCTTGATCTTAGGCAAACCCCTTCCCTTCTCCCTTCTCTTCCATCTCCCCTCCTTTTCGTACCGTTTCTGCCTCCTCCCTATTCTCCCTCCTTTGGCTCAACTCTTTCCCCGCACTCCGATGCCTCCCTTCTCCCTCCCTCTCACCCTTTGCCCTAATCCTGGACCCCTTCCTATTTCTCCCTCCCCTCCCTCTCCCCTCTGTTTTCATCCCAATCCCAGTCTCCCTCTCCTCCCTCTCCTCCTCCCCACGCACCGCTCAGTTCCTCCCCTCTTCCTTCGCCCCCATTCCCCTGCCCTGTTCCCCTCCAATGGTTTCCTCCTCGGTGATTTTCGAAGGTATCATTTTGTTTGTCATATGTATTCACGCTTGAAAGGTTGAGAATTCCTATGTGTTTCCCTAAGTCTGTTGTTTTATGGCTTGGAATAATCGGCCAAATTTTCGAAAAAAAAAAAAAAAAAAAAAAAAAACTGATTTTTCGTCTTTTTCTTATAAGTTTGGGGAACCATGGGAATGGGTTTTTGTTTTATTGATCCCCGATTTTTTATCAGGGGTTTTTTTTTTTAATCTTTTTTAAAAGGGCCCCCAATCGTTTTTTGTCTTTTTTTGAAAATTTTACCACCCCCCCCGGGGGAACTTTTTTTTTTTGTTTTTAAGTTAAAGTCTCCCCTCTCCCCCTCACGTCTCCCCTCTCCCCTCCTCACGTTCCCCTCTCTCCTCCTCACGTCTCCCCTCTCTCCCCTCCTCCATCAGTGCTCACAGCCACCAGCAGATGACCACAGCCATCAAGAGCTCCTCCTACTTCCTGTCTCTACCACCACTTCCTGTTGCGTGTGCCGACCTGGACGGGGACATCAGCTCCCTGCCAATCATCTTCGAGGACAGATACCTGGACTCCATCACGGAAGGTCAGCTACACAATAGAAATAGAATGAAATAGATTCTGTTTCTATATCTGTATGTGTAACAGGGCAGTCCGTTAGAGAGACAGTTCTGCTATTTAAAATCCTACTCTTACACAGGGATGTGATCACTTCAATTTAGAAAGGTCAGGAAAGTAAGTATTGTTTTGGGGCTAGGTCATAATGTATGTATAGAGGGTTATGTTATAAAAGCAGGAATTTGGGATTAATCAGGGAAAATCACATTCACGCTTACACTTTGAAATATGATTCATACCATCACAGTAACTTGTTCATCCAAGTGCCTTGAACATTTGAAATAAGACTGGAAAGTGGCTACAGGGAAATGTGTGTAATGAATATATTTAGTCTGTTATGTTTACCGTCTATATATTCTGTCTGTTGATTCAGTTTACTGTGGCAGCACCATTTCACCTAATCAATTGTGGATGTTCTCCGTACTCTGGTTTCCCCTGCTTCAGATCGTGACGGGCCGTGGCTGGGCTTGCATAACCCCCGGAGTGGCTCCACGTCCTCTGGGAACTCTAAGGCCAGCTCATCCTCCTCCACTGCAGCTGCCGCAGCCTCCTTCCCCAGCCCCATCCTGGAGCCTCGGCCCCCAACCATGATGGACACAACCTGGCCCGATGACTGCCCAGACCTGCCCAAGTCCAAAGGTGTGTTGTTGTTATTCATATGAATAGTTGCTATCATAGTTACTACGCTAGACGTTGATATTATAGTTATTGTGTGTTTTGCCCCCAGTGAGTACTGTCTCGCTTTATATGTCTTGGTAAATATGTCGGACAAATCCTTGACAATGCTTCCTTGAATAGAGTGGGAACCATGATGTTTTATTGATCTGTTTTATCAGTTAATCTGAAGCACGTTGGGTTTTTGATAAAACCACTTAGAAATAAATCACATCCTTTTTCTTTGTATTAAAGGCAAGTCGGTGAAACTGAAGAAGAACACCAAGACTGAGAGGGAGAACGCCAAGAAGCTAATCAGGCAGGGATCCAAGGACTCTGTGGTTCTGGTGGGCTATAAGAACCTGGGGAAGGTTGCTAACTCAGCCAACCCTTCACAGCTAACACACAGAGAAGCTGACCAGGACAGAGAGGCCCAGGGACAGGGAGAGGCTGGCCTGAAGCAGCAGAGGGAGGGAGGAGAGGGAGAGGGGGGAGAGAGATGCCTTGCTGGGGGTGGGGGTGACTGGGGGAGACTGCAACACTGACCTAAGGACTAGGATCTCCAAATCTTTTCCTGAGCCTGGTGCTACAACCACCACAGCCGCTGGACAGGCAAATGCTGTTCTTCATTTTGACTCTCTCCTTGAGGATGACGTCCTAGTGGCTAGCGGCGTGGCTGGTCAGAAAGGTTACTTCACAGCCTTGGTGAGTTTGGACACACCGAACAAGCCGGCCCAGGCTGGTCCTGGAGCTGTAGCTGGATTAGCCACCACAGATCATAACCAAGTAATGGACAGACATTCTGTGGTGGACCACTGCAGCCAGACGCTGCCTCATCACTACACGCCTGGTTCTACCGCTACTGGGCTCAGGCACATCGAGGTCCAACCCAGTGACAAGGACCCGTACCAGGGGGACAAAGTGACAGTTCTCCTGCCATGTCGGACGGATGGGGATGGGACCTCAAATAGAGATATCCCAGAAATCACCCAGACAGACCTGTGTATGTCCGACTCTAAACACCCCGCTATGGGAGACTTGAGGTCTGAGGTGTCTGGCAGACCTGGGAGTAAAGAGGTAATGGCAGAGGTTAGTCAGAGGCCAGGTCTGGTGCTTCTACAGCAGGTGAAAGGTGATTGTGTCAGGCTCCCACCAGACGGGGGTGCTGGAGTCCCCAGTGCCTCCTCCCGCCTCTCCGACTCGGGTATCGAGAGCGAGCCCAGCTCCTTCGCTACCCAGCTGGCAACCCAGGGTGGGGGCGTAGGGCTGGCTGGGGCCCCTGAGACGGAGTTGGGCCCCCAGCAGACCGAACGGCCCCTACTCAGCCCTGCTCCCCGGTCCGTCCAGCCCACCTCTGTCCACAAGGGCAGCATGGGGGCTAGAGAGGGCCTCAACCCGGAGAGCACAGTCAGCGCGGTCAGCGGCGTCCAGTCTTCCCTCACCTCCATCAACTCGTTGCCCTCGGATGACGAAGGGGAGGGGGGTACGTCTGTGTCCAGGGGCTCCAGCGGGGTAGGAGGAGGGGAGGCCGAGGGGCCATCAGGGGGAAGGAGGAAGTCCAGTGTTCTGGTACAGGAGCAACAGAGCCTGGTGTTCTCTGGAGAACCACCACCATCAGTCCCAACACGCTGCTCCGTACCCAGCCAAACACACCCCGACCCTGGGATGGGTCTCAACACCACTGCTGGTGGGGGTTCTGGTTCTCAATATCTGCCTCCTAGGACTTTTTCCTCAACCTCTGAGTCAACACTTAACACTGACCCCAGGTTGTTAACAGGTGCCTCTGAGGGGGCCGTAGGGGGTCCAGGTGCCCCCCGTAGTGAGCCCCAGACAGCCTCCTGCCCCTCCTCTAACTCCACCGCCAGCAGCAGTGACCTGGTCAAGAAGGGACTGGTAGAAAACTACTTTGGCTCGCGCTCCAGCACAGACGTCTCAGAGATCAGCCCTGTAGAGATGTCAGCTATCACCCTGGGGATACTGTCCGGAGCGGGGCCGGGGCCGCCCGTAGAGGAAGAGGAGGAAGAGGACAGCGAGATGATAGAGAACGGCTTCTACGAGGAAGGAGACGGCTTGGCGTTCCTGAACGGGGTCGTTGACGAGGAGGAGGAGGAAGAGGGGGATGAGGGGGATGGAGGGGCGGTAGGGAGGAGTCTGTTGTTTGAACAGTTGGGACTGGAGCATGTTCAAGAGCCAAGGGGTGTTCCTCCAGGCTACGGTGCCCCTGTCTGCTCCCCCCTGGCCCCCAGCTCAGGGAGCTCTTCCCAGGGGAGACCTCCAGTCCCTACCCCCTCCACCACCCTCACCTCCAACAGCCTGCGCTGGTATGACAGCGCCCCCACACCACAGATGAAAGCGTGAGTCCACTGTCTAGTTATCTCATGTACTACAGTTCACACCTTGCTCAATCATTTCATTTCTGCTTCTTTAATGGTTTTATCTTACACCTTAGCTAGAGAAATGTCGCTCTGTTAACTTTACTGTATTAGGTTGATTTGACAGGGACAATGCACCATTTGCACATTAATGTGGTCCTGTGTGGCTCAGTCTGTAGAAAATGGCGCTTGCAACGCCAAGGGTCGTAGGTTCAATTCCCGTTGGGACCACCCATATGTAAAATGTATGCATGCATGACTGTAAGTCAATTTGGATAAAATCATCTGCTATATGGCATATACAGTATACAAAACATTAGGGACACCTTCCTAATATTGAGTTGCACCCCACCTTTTGCCCTTAGAACAGCCTCAATTTGTCGGGGCATGGACTCTACAAGGTGTCGAAAGCGTTCCACAGGGATGCTGGCCCATGTTGACTCCAGTGTTTCCCACAGTTGTGTCAAGTTGGCTGGATGTCCTTTGGGTGGTGGACCAATCTTGATACACACAGGAAACTGTTGAGCATGAAAAACCCAGCAGCATTGCAGTTCTTCACACAAACCAGTGCGCCTGGCACCTACTACCATACCCCATTCAAAGGCACTTCAGTCTTTTGTCTTGCCAATTCACCCTCTGAATGGCACACATTCACAATCCATGTCTCAATTGTCTCAAGGCTTAAAAATCCTTCTTTAACCTGGGATCATAGCTTTCACCTGGATTCACCTGGTCAGTATGTCATGGAAAGAGCAGGTGTTCTTAATGTTTTGTACACTCAGTGTATGTCATCAGTGTACAGTATTATTATTATTATCATAATAGCCTATTTTATTAAGCAACATTTCTGTATATGTGCCTGGGCAGGCAAATAAATAACATGTCTCCCTTCCTTATCCTCATGGTGTAGTTTTGTTGTGGCCAAAGAGGAGTTGAAGCAGCTGAGACTACCAGGCTTCCTGTATAGTGAGGTGGGAGACCTGGCCTCCAATGTTCCTTACTTTAGCCTGGAGGAGGATGAGAACTCTGACGAGGGTATCCACCTCATCGTCTGTGTCCACGGCCTCGATGGTAACTAGACTTTATCCATTTAGTCCCATAATTTGTCCAAACTTTTTATCTGCTCTGTTGTTTGGGCACAGGACATCTTGTGGTCAAATATATTGAAAACCGACCTGGGTTCAAATACTATTGAAGTAATTTCAAATACGTTAGCTGGGCTTGATCGAGTTTACCTTGGCAATGGAACCAATCGTAAAGCCCCATCAGTGGCGTTCCAGACAGGTTAATGCATTGCTCATTGTATTTGAACGATTTCAAACGGTATTTGAACCCAGGTCTAATGTGAAATATCTTGGGTGTTCCTTCATTCTGCATCTTCCAGGTAACAGTGCAGACCTGCGTCTGGTGAAGACCTACCTGGAGCTGGGCCTACCTGGAACTAGGATAGACTTCCTCATGTCAGAACGCAACCAGGTAACTAACCATAATGTACCACACCTAAACCATCCAACACTACCTCATTATGGGACACCTAAACCATCCAACACTACCTCATTATGGGACACCTAAACCATCCAACACTACCTCATTATGGGACACCTAAACCAACCAACACGACCTCATTATGGGACACCTAAACCATCCAACACTACCTCATTATGGGACACCTAAACCAACCAACACTACCTCATTATGGGACACCTAAACCATCCAACACTACCTCATTATGGGACACCTAAACCAGCCAACACTACCTCATTATGGGACACCTAAACCATCCAACACGACCTCATTATGGGACACCTAAACCAACCAACACGACCTCATTATGGGACACCTAAACCAACCAACATGACCTCATTATGGGACACCTAAACCAACCACCACTACCTCATTGTGGGACACCTAAACCAGCCAACACTACCTCATTATGGGACACCTAAACCAACCACCACTACCTCATTATGAGACACCTAAACCAACCAACACTACCTCATTATGGGACACCTAAACCAACCAACACTACCTCATTATGGGACACCTAAACCAACCAACCAACACTACCTCATTATGGGACACCTAAACCAACCAACACTACTTCATTATGGGACACCTAAACCAACCAACCAACACTACCACATTATGGGACACCTAAACCAACCAACACTACTTCATTATGGGACACCTAAACCAACCAACCAACACTACCACATTATGAGACACCTAAACCAATCAACACTACCTCATTATGGGACACCTAAACCAACCAACCAACACTACCTCATTTTGAGACACCTAAACCAACCAACACTACCTCATTATGGGACACCTAAACCAATCAACACTACCTCATTATGGAACACCTAAACCAACCAGCCAACACTACCTCATTATGAGACACCTAAACCAACCAACACTACCTCATTATGAGACACCTAAACCAACCAACACTACCTCATTATGAGACACCTAAACCAAACAACACTACCTCATTATGGGACACCTAAACCAACCAACACTACCTCATTATGGGACACCTAAACCAACCAACACTACCTCATTATGGGACACCTAAACCAACCAACCAACACTACCACATTATGAGACACCTAAACCAACCAACACTACTTCATTATGGGACACCTAAACCAACCAACCAACACTACCACATTATGAGACACCTAAACCGATCAACACTACCTCATTATGGGACACCTAAACCAACCAACCAACACTACCTCATTTTGAGACACCTAAACCAACCAACACTACCTCATTATGGGACACCTAAACCAAACAACACTACCTCATTATGGGACACCTAAACCAACCAACACTACCTCATTATGGGACACCTAAACCAACCAACCAACACTACCACATTATGGGACACCTAAACCAAACAACACTACCTCATTATGGGACACCTAAACCAACCAACACTACCTCATTATGGGACACCTAAACCAACCAACCAACACTACCATATTATGAGACACCTAAACCAACCAACACTACCTCATTATGGGACACCTAAACCAACCAACCAACACTACCACATTATGAGACACCTAAACCAACCAACACTACCTCATTATGAGACACCTAAACCAACCAACACTACCTCATCTGCCTCTTCACTTCACATTGTTATGGGACATTATGTATGACAATCAACAATGGATGGTTAATAGGAATTTGTTTTAATTTCGTCTCATGGGTGTGCAGTATTGTGTCATTGGATTGCAGTTTCGTCTGTATCCTCTTATGCAAGTGCAGTAAACAATGCTGTGTCCTTGTCTGTCTGTCGGTCTCTCTGTCTGTAGAACTTTAGGTCTGACTTTTGTTGTGTTACCCACAGAATGACACGTTTGCTGACTTTGAGCAGATGACAGACCGGCTGTTGGATGAAATAGTTCAGTACATTCAGATCTACAACCTCACCGTCTCTAAGATCAGGTACGTATGGTTTATTCAGATCTACAACCTCACCGTCTCTAAGATCAGGTACATATGGTTTATTCAGATCTACAAACTCGCCGTCTCTAAGATCAGGTACATATGGTTTATTCAGATCTACAACCTCACAGTCTCTAAGATCAGGTACATATGGTTTATTCAGATCTACAACCTCATAGTCTCTAAGATCAGGTACATATGGTTTATTCAGATCTACAACCTCACAGTCTCTAAGATCAGGTACATATGGTTTATTCAGATCTACAACCTCACAGTCTCTAAGATCAGGTACATATGGTTTATTCAGATCTACAACCTCATAGTCTCTAAGATCAGGTACATATGGTTTATTCAGATCTACAAACTCGCCGTCTCTAAGATCAAATCCAATCCAATCAAATGTTATTCGTTACATGCGCCGAATACAACAGTTGTAGACCTTACAGTAAAATGTTTACTTACAAGCCCTTAACAAACAATGCAGTTTTAAGACAAATAAGTGATAAGTAAAAAATAAAATAATAAAAATAGAAAAATAACATAATTAAAGAGCAGCAGTAAAATAACAGTAGCGAGGCTAAATACAAGGGGTACCGGTACAGAGTCCATGTGCAAGGGGCACATTAGTCGAGGTAAATCAGGTAATATGTAGAGGTAAAGTGACTGCATAGATAATAAACAGAGAGTAGCAGCAGCGTAAAAGAGGGGATCGGGGGTACAATGCAAATAGTCCGGGTAGCCATTTCATTAGCTGTTCAGGAGTCTTATGGCTTGGGGGTAGAAGCTGTTAAGAAGCCTTTTGGACCTAGACTTGGCGCTCCGGTACCGCTTGCCGTGTGGTAGCAGAGAGAACAGTCTGACTAGGGTGGCTGGAGTCTTTGACAATTTTTAGGGCCTTCCTCTGACACCACCTAGTATAGAGGTCCTGGATGGCAGGAAGCTTGGCCCCAGTGATGTACTGGGCCGTACGCACTACCCTCTGTAGTGCCTTGTGGTCGAAGGCCGAGCAGTTGCCATACCAGGCAGCGATGCAACCAGTCAGGATGCTCTCGATGATGCAGCTGTAGAACCTTTTGAGGATCTGAGGACCCATGCCAAATCTTTTCAGTCTCCTTAGGGGGAATAGGCTTTGTCGTGCCCTCTTCACGACTGTCTTGGTGTGTTTGGACCGTGATAGTTTGTTGGTGATGTGAACACCAAGGAACTTGAAGCTCTCAACCTGCTCCACTACAGCCCTGTCGATGAGAATGGGGGCGTGCTCGGTCCTTCTTTTCCTGTAGTCCACAATCATCTCCTTTGTCTTGATCATGTTAAGGGAGAGGTTGTTATCCTGGCACCACACGGCCAGGTCTCTGACCTCTTCCCTATAGGCTGTCTCATTGTTGTCGGTGATCAGGCCTACCACTGTTGTGTCGTCGGCAAACTTAATGATGGTGTTGGATTCGTGCCTGGCCATGCAGTCATGGGTGAACAGGGAGTACAGGAGGGGACTGAGCACGCACCCCTGAGGGGCCCCCGTGTTGAGGATCAGCGTGGCAGATGTGTTGTTACCTACCCTTACCACCTGGGGGCGGCCCATCAGGAAGTCCAGGATCCCGTTGCAGAGGGAGATGTTTAGTCCCAGTGTCCTTAGCTTAGTGTTGAGCTTTGAGGGCACTATGGTGTTGAACGCTAAGCTGTAGTCAATGAATAGCATTCTCACGTAGGTGTTCCTTTTGTCCAGGTGGGAAAGGGCAGTGTGGATTGCAATAGAGATTGCATCTGTGGATCTGTTGGAGCGGTATGCAAATTGGAGTGGGTCTAGGGTTTCTGGGATAATGGTGTTGATGTGAGCCATGACCAGCCTTTCAAAGCACTTCATGGCTACAGATGTGAATGCTACAGGTCAGTTGTCATTTAGGCAGGTTACCTTAGTGTTCTTGGGCACAGGGACTATGGTGGTCTGCTTGAAAGATGTTGGTATTACAGACTCCGACAGGGAGAGGTTGAAAATGTCAGTGAAGACACTTGCCAGTTGGTCAGTGCATGCTCAGAGTACACATCCTGGTAATCCGTCTGGCCCTGCGGCCTTGTGAGTGTTGACCTATTTAAAGGTCTTACTCACATCGGCTACGGAGAGCGTGATCACACAGTCATCCGGAACAGCTGATGCTCTCATGCATGCTTCAGTGTTGCTTGCCTCGAAGAGAGCATAGAAGTAATTTAGCTTGTCTGGTATGCTCGGTGGCAGAAACATTATGTACAGTATAAGTCACAAAAAACGCAAAAAAACACACACAATAGCACAATTGGTTAGGAGCCTGTAAATCGTCAGCCATCCCCTCCGGCGCCATTATAGGTACATATGGTTCTTCAGATCTACAACCTCACAGTCTCTAAGATCAGGTACATCTGGTTCTTCAGATCTACAACCTCACCGTCTCTTCTTCTTGCCAAGGCTGACTACTATGGGTGCAAAAGTCTAAAGTGCCTCCCTCTCCTCTTGTCCTTCATCTGCACTAATTGAAAGAACAAGTAATAATGGGACAGGTTAAAGCAACATAGTGGATCTCTACCAGCCATGATTGGACTTTTACCTGTCCAGTCAGTCACCTTGGCCCCTGTCCAGTCAGTCACCTTTTCCCCTGTCCAGACAGTCACCTTTTCCCCTGTCCAGTCAGTCACCTTTCCCCTGTCCAGTCAGTCACCTTTTCCCCTGTCCAGACAGTCACCTTTTCCCCTGTCCAGTCAGTCACCTTTCCCCTGTCCAGTCAGTCACCTTTTCCCCTGTCCAGTCAGTCACCTTTCCCCTGTCCAGTCAGTCACCTTTTCCCCTGTCCAGACAGTCACCTTTTCCCCTGTCCAGACAGTCACCTTTTCCCCTGTCCAGACAGTCACCTTTTCCCCTGTCCAGACAGTCACCTTTTCCCCTGTCCAGACATTCACCTTTTCCCCCTGTCCAGACAGTCACCTTTTCCCCTGTCCAGACAGTCACCTTTTCCCCTGTCCAGACAGTCACCTTTTCCCCTGTCCAGTCAGTCACCTTTTGCCCTGTCCAGACAGTCACCTTTTCCCCTGTCCAGACAGTCACCTTTTTCCCTGTCCAGACAGTCACCTTTTCCCCTGTCCAGACAGTCACCTTTTCCCCTGTCCAGTCCGTCACCTTTCCCCTGTCCAGTCCGTCACCTTTCCCCTGTCCAGTCAGTCACCATTCCAATCAGTGCAGATGGAGGAAAGGAGACAAGGAAAGGAAGCAGCTTAATGCTATTGAGATTCTCCCTGGTTTATGACAGTCCTCTCCACACCCATCCATATTGAATGATCCCCCACCATGTGGATCTGTCTCAGTCCTTTAGTACGTTAGTCACACGTGATATCTCAGACACCACTGGCCCGACTTTGACCAAACTTGGTTGAATGATGCGTCTTGCCATAGAGATCTGGCATTTACAAAATGACACTGATTGGCCCAAGCTATAGGGGGGCTGCATCATTGGTGGGGGACAACATGTTTACTGTTGCCTTGTTTGATTTGAGCTCCTGTGTGATCACTGACCCGTATCTATATTCTCTGTTCCTCAGCTTCGTAGGCCATTCCCTGGGGAACCTGATAGTTCGTTCAGTACTGAGCAGACCCAGGTTTAAATGTTACCTGAGCAGACTTCACACCTTCCTCTCGCTGTCTGGACCTCACCTGGGCACCCTGTACAACAGCTCTGCTCTGGTCAACACGGGTATGTTTCTACACTATACCCTCTACACTATGTCTCACTGGGATTTTTCTGAATCGGACAAATATCCTACCTCATTAGATTTATTTCATTCGTGCTCACAGTCGGCTCTGCTGACAGTGTGTTTGCCAGATGCCGGATAAAAGGCCATTTTTAAACTGACTAAGAGAATGAGTAACAACTGGTGAATAGTGGCTTATAGATAGGTGTCAGTCAGTCAGGTGGCTAGCTGCCTGGAGAGGCTTCTATTGCAGTAAAGCTGAAGGGCTCTGGCTAGTATTACTTAGAAGGATGAAGTAAGAAGCTAACATTTAAACCGCACCTACCTCAGCAGGAGCAAAAAATAGGCCAGTAAGTTGTAATAACTTTGCTTTACAGAGAGTAGGCTGCTGAGCCAGACAGTGATGAGGCTGAGGCAGGCTACAATGCTTGGAGGAGGAAGCAGAGGAGACGTTTAGACAACACTTTAAAAACAAGATACAACATTCAATTTAAAAAGCTCCTAGCTTAATTTTTTAAAAATGTATGTGTACTATTCCTGGCAAGCTTACTGTGAAAATGTTTCAGGTATATTTTCCTTTAACTAAGGTCAAGGAAGCAAGGGAATGTCTTGCTCTCCCCTGGTTGTCTTCTAACCCCTGTATTCCTCCTTCCTCCCAGGCCTGTGGTTCATGCAGAAGTGGAAGAAGTCTGGCTCTCTGCTACAGCTGACCTGCAGAGACCACTCTGATCCCAGACAGACCTTCCTCTACAAGCTCAGCAAGAAATCTGGTGAGCTGAGCAGAGTAAAGATCATTGTTGTTGATGTTTTTTTACAATGCAGTTTGTTACATTGTTAACGCCTTGTATCAATCTGTTCTCTCTTAAATGAAGCTTGTTGTTTTACGATGCCGTCTGTTGTTACATTAATAGCTATGCTGTGTCAATGTATTGTGGCAGGTCTGCATCACTTCAGGAACGTGGTGTTAGTCGGCTCTCTGCAGGATCGGTACGTCCCATATCACTCAGCCAGGATAGAGATGTGTAAGACAGCCCTGAAAGACAAACAAACAGGTGAGCCCGACATATTTCTCAGAGCAGGCCACAAAGATGTGTCCTACAGGACATTGGTTCACACTGTAGACAAGCTACTGGACCAAACACTTGAGCCTGGTTCCTGTCGCTGCTGCTTGGGGTTTGCTAGGCCGGGTTACAGTAAAACACTTTGTGACAACTGTTGATGTCCAAATGGCTTTATGAATATATTTGATTGATTGATTGATTCTTGATTGTTGTCATGAATGGCTCAGTTGGTAGAGCATGGCGCTTGCAACGCCGGGATTGTGGGTTAGATTCCAGGACCACCCATACGTAAAATGTATGCATACATGACTGTAAGTCGCTTTGGATAAAAGCGTCTGCTAAATGTCATTATTATCATTATTATTATTATTATTATTATTATTATTATTATCATTTATCATTATTATCATTGTTATTATTATCATTATTATTATTGTTATCATTATTATTATTATCATTATTATTATTATTATCATTATTATAATTTTTGTTATCGTCATTATTATTTTTATTATTAGCATTATTATTCTTATCATTATCATTCTTATCATTATTATTTGTATTAGTATTATTAGCATTATTATTATTATTATGATCATCATATTTTATTTTATCGGTATTATTATTATCGGCATCATTATTATTATCATTATTATTAACATTATCATTATTATTATCATTATCATTATCATTTATCATTATTATTTTAATTATTAGCATTATTATTCTTAACATTATTATTAGCATTATTATTTGCATTAGCATTATTATTATTCTTATCATCATTATTATTATTATCATTATTATCATTATTATTATTCTCTCGGTCTTGCCTTTTTTCTCTCACTCCCTTTCTATCTCTCTCTCCCCCTCCCCGTCTCCCAGGTTCAATGTATGTAGAGATGATAGAGAACCTGTTGCTGCCGGTGCTCCAGAACAGAGACTGTAACCTGGTGCGTTACGATGTCATCCACGCCCTGCCCAACACCGCCAACTCCCTGATTGGCCGAGCAGCACACATCGCCGTCCTCGACTCAGAGATCTTCCTGGAGAAGTTCTTCCTGGTCGCAGGCCTCAAGTTCTTTCAGTAGGAGAGGAGGGGTCTACGAATCCAACTAATGGCTGGAGGGGGGATGGGAGGGGGCTCTACCAATCTAACCAATGGCTGGAGCGGAGGGACGTTTTTTCAGTAGGAAGTAGGAGTGGCCACCCAATCTAACCAATGGCTGGAGGAGGGAGAATGAGGGCCTCCCAATCAATAACCCAGTCCCATATCTGTTTTGACCTTTTTGGTCAACTCCTATAGCCATTGACATGCCAAAAAATGTATGCATTCGTTGTATCTTTTCGAGGGCACCGGGTGGATGGAGTTTACACATTTAAGACCATGTCATTGGTGCTAAAGTGAGATCTCTGCCCATCTCCACCCGATGACCATAGAAGTTGGCAAGACGGCACAAACTGATCTGGGACCAGGCTAGCAAATCAAACCTGTGGCTGGAGGGAAAGAGAGGAGAACGTGGAGCATACATAGAATATCATTACTAGAACATCAATCTAGTGATGCTATTTCTATCATGTGTAGCTTACATTACCTCACTGCATCCAAAACCCAATTCTCAATATTGTATCTGGTTTTAAGGCATATGGTTTTATAGATGCATATGCTTCCATATGGAAGAAGGTCAAAATTCAAATATCAGTTGTTAGTGAATGTACTATGTTCCTCATTTTACTTTTTCTACTTCCATTTTTCAAAGGATGATTTCAAGTTGATTTTATTAATGTACTCGTGGTGGGGGGGAAATGGTTTTCCTTATCATATTGTAGTCTTTTCAGTGTTATTTATCTATGAAATTGTTATATTTTACATGGTTTTGTTCAAACCATTCATTCATTTATTAAAACGATTGCAATACCGAACTGGAAATGTAGCTGCTAAAATGTTAAATGGTTATTTCGGTGAGCTAACCCAAGTGTCAAATCTTCTCATATTGCCCTCACCTTTATTTAGAAGGTGCATTTTATTCAACAACAACAAATTAGTCATCAAGTAAAACTAATATACTCTTGCGTTAATTTGCACCTCAACTGTATAAAAAAAAGATTTTGTACTGAGGATGGTCATGTTTATTACGTACATATTTTACTATCAGAATTTTCATTTGTGTTATTTGTTCATTTTACAAAGGTAAAGACTTCCTGTCTAGTCGAACTAACTTAACGGAATCAATTTGATTGTAGCTTGGACAATGCAGCCTGGGACTTATAAGGCTTTGCGGTTTTCTATAGCTCTGGACCAGGGCGTTCGGTGCAGGTTGTTGGCGCTGAGCCTTCCTGGACAGGGGAAGAGGCAACTCGTTGCGCAATGGACCAGAGCTAGATTTTATACTGTATGCTGTTACTTTGCCATTACAGCACAACACTAAAACCCAACCTGGTGTTGGGAACATTATACGAGCCTTGCTTGATTAAAGCATGAGAACATTTTATTACAAGGGGTTTTAAATAAACTCGTTCAACTATTATAGCCAGAAGGGTCGTGTTCATTAGGGCTCACCGTAGCAAACGTTTTCTAACAGAAAGCAAAGAAAGCGTTACTTATTTGACAAGTTCAGGTAGGGAGGAACCCTGTTTGATTCTGTTTTCTTCCGTCTGGTGCCTAATGAATACGACCCAGATATAAAGGTGGGGTGTTGTCAAGGGTCAGTACTTATGAATAGCACATGTCTTGGTTCATGGAAAGTATTTATGTTTTTTAACATGAGGAGAGTATTGTTTTTAGATATTAAATCAACTTCTCATTTCTTTGTGAAAATGGTTTGTATCATTGCACTCTTTACCATTAAATAAATGTATTATAAATATGTGTTGGTCTTTTTTTCTCATTTATGCAATTTGATTGAAAGTTACAACTCGACTTTTTCACTAGATGGCAGTGTATCTAGTTGTATGTGGATTCCACTGCAACATAATTGCTTTTCCCTGCCAGAGAAATCTATTCCCATCTATTCCATCTCCAGAATCGAATCTATTCCAGCTCCAGAAAATGTTATCCAGACTTGCAGAGTACTAGCCTGGGAGCCGGTCTGGTTCTGCTCTCTTGCCAACTCCTTATGGAACTGTCATGCCAATGGCAAAATGGCTTGACAATGAAATGACAATGGAGTAGGCTAACAACAAAAACAAATAAGGCAATTTAATCCGTCATCAAATAAAGTGTCTCTGGTTGAAATATTTGATGGATTTGGGATTAATGTTCCTCATTATTTGTGGTTGTGGTGTAAATACAAACAACAGTCAACTGTCCAAGGAATGTGTGAATGGACATTGTTTTTTACTAGGCTCTGCCATCCATTCAGTATCTCCTAGCCCAGTTTACCGCTCCCTCCCTTGCTTTTACTAGGCTCTGCCATCCATTCAGTATCTCCTAGCCCAGTTTACCGCTCTCTCCCTTGCCCCCATGTCTGGAGTAAATTATAGAAGCCTGTTGCTACCAGCTGATTTTAGGAATGTTGTCTCCCATGGTAACACAATGGATTCCCGATTGAAAGCTGCCAAGTGACCTCCCTCTCCGCACGCACGCACTACACAAACACCTCCCCTTTTACTCCAGCCTCTCGTCTCTCGACACCCCCTTTCAGAGAGCAGAGGGGTATTGTGGGATGATGTAATGTGTTCCTGAATGAGACAGTCCTCCTCCAAAGGGACTAAATTACGTTGAGCTGACTGCGAGAAAGAGGAGTGGGGGTGTAGGGGTCAGAGGGCGGTAGATGAGGGGTGACGGGGGGGAGGGGGGTGTTATTAGGCTCATCTCCCCAATGAGATGATGGGAAGTAGACAATGGATGGCCATCTTTTCTTGACCAGGGAAACACAATACAACAACACCAGGTGTGAGTCTGTCAACAGTATTGTCCAGAGATCACAGTCCTGGGGGCAGTTTATCTGTCCATGGCCTCTTTTACACATCCTGTCCACCAGCAGAGTGCAAAGTTGTTAAACAGCTCACACAGCCTAATTAAGGCTTGATAAGAGGACTGGGGATTTGTTCTTTCTGTCAGATAGGTGTTATGTACTATATATGTGTCAGATGATAGTCTATTGTCAGTAAAGTAGCAACTGTTTAAACATGTAATCTAACTCTGGAAAATATCCCTTGAAATTACCTATTAGTTTAAGACTAGCCTTAATCTGTGTCCTTGAAACCCTCCTATACCGTTAAAGCATCTGTTAGAAAATCCTATCTTCAGCAATAATCACAGTCATTCGCTAAACTAGATAACATAAGAAATCAACAGGTTGATCTGGAGACAGCATTATGGTCTCGGACTGTGGACCTAATTAGCTGTAATCTCATATGAACTAATGCTAATCTGGGTAATCTGCCTTTTATTGGAGTAAACCCTGCCAAACTGGCTCAAACATTCATTATTGTTGCATTCCCTGGATTATTTCCCCAGACAATTAATGAGGCTTGAAACTGGACGCACCATGGCTAACTCAGGACATGGTGGAGATACGTGGTCGTATTTTTAGTTTAGGGAAGGTTAGATTTCCCTCATTATTCAACAGCAATGATTAGAAAATACATGATCATATAATTTAAATTATGGAGGCATATTTAGATTTTTGTCGGATTAGAAGAATGATTTCTAATTTAGAATTTCCATTAAATCTTTCTAAAAACATTTTCTTTCACACGTTGATGGGCTATATTAGCAGTATACTGGTGAGTAATGAAATTAGCTTGCTGTCAATCATGCTGAATCATCCATATTACCATGCAATAAAAACGTGGCCAATAAATTCATTACATGGCGTGTACATTGGGATGTCCTGGTCTCACACTCAACTCACCTTGAGCCATAAACTATTGAACCAAACACAAATATAATAGCAATATTTAATATCAACTAGGGTGACGTTCTGTCAGTATGAGAAAGTACATGGTTACAAGTCCTGAATTTATACAACGTAATAACTCCCTGCTTCTAAACAACACTTGCTCATTTAAATCACGGGACCACTGAATAGGAAATGAAAAGGGTGGTGTTCATTCTTTTAACGTGTTGTTTTCCAATTAATAAGTGTGATATTGACGATGTTTAATGTAGCTCGCTATTAATTGCGAAACATAGACAATATGGTTATCAGTCAGAAAACGAATTTTTATACTAAACTATGCTAAAACATACACCCCTTCGATTCATTGCAGTTGGTATAGTCCAGTCTGTTGAGTCTCGCTCAACAGAGGAGCATCTTGAAAGTTTTTGAACATCACACCAATGTTGCTACTTTTTCGCTGTCCGCCAAAACCATCAAACTACGTTCCGTTATTTTAGGGATAATTTGGGATAATTTGTCTCATTTATACGTCTGGATAACCTCAACAACATCGTTTTGTTTAAGATATTCAGGTGTTTGCTGGTTTCATCTGTCGGTAAGTATTACTATTCAACTATTTAAGGCGGCTATTGGCAGAACATGCAAGCACTTGTTGCTCTTCTATTTCCCGTGAATGTTCGTGTTTATGTGTGTTCATGATGCGTTTAACGTCTCCATTATTCCTTCAATACAATATTGCATTCGTTCGTCTACTATTTTAGTTTATAGGCTACTTAGTATGCTCTAACGTTGCCTAATAAATACATTTTTACGAATCGAATCAATTTTGATAAGCATACCACTGCTCCAATGTGAATATCATTATGATCATTCTCTAATTGAATTACATCACATTGATGTCCCACTCCTAACTAGATTGGATGTACATTTGAATTCAACGAGGAAAGTGTCAATATTATTATTTTGGAAGCAGGTGCCCTCATAGCCTCTATTGCTCAGAGGCTACATGTTTCTCTCATCTCCCAGTGTCCTTCAATGACACCTTCCTCTCAAACCCTTGTCTATGTCCTGAAGAACAGTGTTGTACACTATATTACAGAGGGCTGTTAGTGTTCAAGCTCTCTGCTTTGCTTTCTGCATGATTCGTTCTCAAAAACAAAGATTAATGTAACCCCAAGCGTCCACAGAAAATATACACTTTTCCACGTCCTCAGCCTTCCATACATCTCTCTCTCCCTAAC